TAATAGTTTGTTTGAAAGAGAAAAGAACAGGCTTTGAAGTAAGCCTAAAAGCGTTTAACTAGAAATAGTATTTCGAAAGTTATTGAGCACAAAAGATGAATTGCGTTTTTTTTTATACACTCTGTATAGAACTAAACCTGAGAGACTGAGAGTGTACCAGTGTACGTGTCGTTGAGTGAGCTTCGAAAATCTATCGTCTATTAGTTTATTAACGACCAGCCAGGCCTTATTAACAACTTCGTCCCTTACAATAACCGTTATGACATATTTTATGAAAAATACATGCCAATAAAAATTTCATGGTGTAGTCCTTTGTGTTGCTTTATTCGCACTCCTTGTATTGTTTTGAACTCGCTACATTTGCCTTTCCTATCCCCCATAAGTCCAATTGTTATCTCCCAAAATCTGGGAGAAACGTAACCAGCCTGGACCAGGGTCTTTCCTCCAGCGAGGTGCGTAGTGGAAAGAGCCTGGGTACGAGGTTGAAATACAGTGTCCGTCTCACATGGATATCAGTTCATTAACAATGGACAAGTTTTCTTTAGTACATCTAATAACATGTTAGCCTGTGCAAAAATGGTGATTGGTACATATGTGATGATGCCAAGTGATGAAATAGTGACTCCAAGGTCCTTGACTCAACACGTAGTACCAAAAACCGATGGGTTTTGTCAACCTCGTACCCAGGGTCTTTCCTCTTGGGGTCACTCCCCGGTTGGGGTTTTGTTTGCGTGTAATTGCAAGAACTTTACATTTTGTAGCATTGAACTTCATCAGTATTGCAATGCTGGCTAGAGATGTTGATGTTGTGAAGGGCTTGCGTTAAATCCTCGCAGTCACTCGGAGATAAGATGCTTCGATGTAATTTGGTGTCATCCGTGCAAAAAGCTGTGTTTGTTCCATTTGGAATTATTTCAGGGAGATTGTTAATAAATATAATAAATAGAAAGGGAGCCAGAATGCTTCCTTGGGGCACACCAGAGGTTACAGGAGCCCACTGAGATACAGTACCGTAGACCACAACCCTTTGAGTCCGACAGCTCAGGTAGTCCGTAAACCAGCCCAGGAGCCGTCCAGTCATGCCATAGCATTTTAGTTTCTTAACGAGAACTCAGTTGATGGTCAACCAAGAACAAGACAAACAAGACATCCGACTGGGTGCATGTTATTGTCATAATTTTTGGCCAATATTGTGTAGTACCGTAAGCAACTGTGAAAGACACGAACGCTTTCTCAGGAATCCATGTTGTACTGGAGAAATAATCGATAATGCACAGTCTGCATTAGAACAATTTTTGCAACTCATATATTTATAGCTTCCCGCATCCGATCGCGAAGCAGCCACTTCCACGCTAATAATGACAAAAATATAGCATCTCTTACTTCAGAAGGAAACAACCGTCATGACCCAAAAAGGAAAAGATTATATAGCTTCTTTTGATACCAGTTTTTAAGAATCTGAATGCAATACTCCAGATCGTAAGTACATGTTTTATTTATCGAAAGACGCGTGAATGCAAAAAGGTCTATACCTTATAGAGGCCTATATTACTTAAAAGCAAACAATACCAACGCTAAAACTCCTGATTCTATATATATAATCGTAAACAATAGATACTTAGTCTTGGATATTACGAATTTGTTTCAGTATAAACGCACGACGCAGTAGCTTCGATGTGTTTCTGAACATAACTATATGGTAAAAATATTTAACAATTATTTGAGTGAGGTTTAATTGTCTTGCTTAGCTAAGCAGTGTAAACTAAATTTAGGTATGATATACATAACTTAATTCGCAGGCGAAGGCATGTATCCTCCGAGTGCCCTCTACATATAGTTTGAAAAATATTTTAACACATTTTGACTGGCCTACTATTGTGATTGCAAAACGCCTAGGATGTTAAAGCGACTATATATGTTGAAAAACTCAGCTCAAGCTTGTTCTCTTTAATGAAATATTTTAATAATTTACAATTATCATTGATAGAAATATCTGGTATCTTTGTGACAGAAAGACGATAACACCCTACCTGCATCTGTCCTTTCACAGATAAATCCGAATTTCCTTGAACAATTTGCGGCGTTCCATGTTACCGAATGCGACATCAATGATTTTAAAATGAGAACACATTTGTCCTTACCACTGGCATTTGGTTCTCCACGAATCCAGTTTGTAAATCCAGCAGTAGTATTATCAACTATCCACTGCCATAGTGGCTTCACTTTTTCATGGCGAAAACCAATCCAGTATTTCTAAAACAACGTTTGAAGAGAAATAGTGAAAAAATTATAACGACCTTTCGTTGGTAGAGATGCAACTACCTGAAAATATATATAAGGATCATTTCGACGTTTGGAGCGAAGGGCCTTCATCTGGTAAGGTAATTAATAGCTTTATTAGCATGACCATATGTTAACAGTATTATATATACACAGTATTATATTTACATATATATATATATATATATATATATATATATATATATATATATATATATATATATATATATATATATATATATATATATATATATATATATATATATATATATATATATATATATATATATATATATATATATATATATATATATATATATATATATATATAGTTTTTCGTTTTACCTCAAAAAACCATAACAGTCTGTTTCATCCGTATAGGAATGATTCCTAACTATATTACGCTCTATTTATATGGTATTGAGCACTGTTTGTGTTTCGTAAACCAAAATCTTAAGCTATATATATATATATATATATATATATATATATATATATATATATATATATATATATATATATATATATATATATATATATAACCAACAATGAGACGATGGATGTGGGACGCATGAATTATATATACGACAAGAACGCCATTCAACCTAATACGCATGATCTCTGCATGTCACAGATTTAAATCAGCGCAAAGGCCTATAGGCAATTATGCCCCAAAGCTCACTACCAGCAACTGCGGACAGCTGTTTCGCCCTTTTGGGGCTCGTCAGCGCAGTGTAGCTGATAGTGAGCTTTTCATCCGAAAAGTATTTATACAACCAACAATGAGACGATGGATGTGGGACGCATGAATTATATATACGACAAGAACGCCATTCAACCTTCATATATATATATATATATATATATATATATATATATATATATATATATATATATATATATATATATATATATATATATATATATATATATATATTTACAGTTTTGCTAAAGCATTACAAACAATATATAGAAGAAACTATGATAAACTAGGACTATTACAGATTACTATTTGTGGAATGATTTATAATAGACTAATACAATATTAAGAAGAATTAAGAGGAAAGAAAGCAGGCAAGTATGCTATTTACAAATAAGGTGGTTATTACAACCTTTGCTAATCCGCATTCCTGGTTTCAAGGTATTTAAGTCTTAATTATTTGCTTGAAACATGAATAGACAAATTTTGAAAGTTTGGTTATGATTTCACTATCAGTTGACTTCATTAGGTCCGCTGATAGAGTTTGAGAGTTTAGATTAATCTCGTCAGATGAAGCATTCTCTAATGAACTTCGAAGGTTTGCACGAGATTGCTCATAGGCAGGAGATGGGTTTCATTTTCCACCTGTCCTGAATTGCAGATTTTACATAAGCGTTCTTCACGGGGTATATTTTGATAGCGCCCGATCTCAATTTGGAGGTTATGGTTGCTGATTCTAAGTCTTGAAAGACATTTTCTTTTGTATGGATGTTTTATAAATACTAAGTAGTTTTCGAGGTTGTGGTCCGTTTTGAATGTTGAGTAGAAAGTCAGTTTGGATGAATTTTGAAGTTTATGTTTCCAGAATGTTAAGTATTTTTCCTCAAGGGTTTTGGTAATAGTTTTAATATGTTCAGTCGTTACGGCTTCTAAATTAAGGATTTCTTCATTTAGATTTAAATTTTTGATAGTATCCATTGCATTTCCGTAAAAAGACATTTTCTGCTTGGAGTGCAGATCTTTCGAGATTAGAAAAGCTTGCTTCGCAATGGTTGTTTGGGGAAGTGAGTTTAAGTGAGTGATGTATTTGAAGACCCTTTTGAATACGTTAATGATGAGAGGGAGTTTTCCAAGCTCAGCTCTGGAGGCAATGTTACTTGCTTTGCTACTGATAGCGAGGTAAATTTTATAGAACTTAAGATGAACTTTTTCAATTGGTGATTTATCCCAATTGTTGAAATCATTTTTCACGTATGTCCCCCATACTTCCGAGTTGTATAGTAGGATGGGAGTTATAATTGAATCAAATATTTTAATGGCATATTTGGGATTGAGATGGCTGAAATTGAGCTGTCTTCTTATACCGTATAAAGCATGCAAGGCTTTTTTGCTTAGTTGTTTTAGAGCTAGAGTAAAATTACCATTGTGATTTAGTTTGACTCCTAGGTAACAGTATTCCTGCACGATTTTTATGTTCCGATTTCCAAGATTAAAAATTGGTCTTGCTTTTCTTTGTTTTTCTTTTTTCAAATATCATTATTTGTGTTTTCTTCAAATTTATCTCCATAAGCCATTTTTTTTTCCAACAATGGAGATCGTCTAGAGATTTTTGTAGGCCGAATTTTGATCGAGATAATAAAATTAAGTCATCGGCATATAGAAGGCAACTCAGTTTAGTCCCATTTGGTAGTATCAACGGATCGGCAGCTGTATTATCAAATAACGTTGCTAGTTCGTTTCCAACAATACACTGATCTCATCCCTGATTTTACCTTGGAAGGTACATACTGCAGAAGACTGTCTTGGCATAGCATCATGTTCTCGTGTCGAACTCGAACGTTTTATTAACTTTGTTAATAATTTCTGGAGTAAGTAGCGGGGGTCGGAAATCTGGAGTAAGTAGCGGTGGCCGGAAAATGATATGACTTTTTATACTAAGAATACAAAAGCGATCACGTGACAAAAAATAAACCAAACAATAAATGTTAATCACTTTACAGAATATATAAATACAAATATAGAGAAAGCTACAACAAAACAACAAAGTTGTTTCGTCAATTTAAATGAGGCACACAATATCGTAAACAGTATTGTAATAAGGTTTCGAACCTACGAACAAAATATGAATTTACATAAATATTTACCACTAATCCCACATTACAACAGGCCAAATGAAGCATTATTTAACGTACCTACACTATGGCCTCTCAATAAGTCCAAGTCAAGTATATATGTCTCACCGGAGACAGATTCCACAGTTCTCAACGGAGAATAAACCAGTCCAAACAGTTCTCAACGGAGATATAAATTTCAACCTACAAGCTAGCATGCATACCAAAAACTAATTAAATATTCTAATGTTTTCTTTTGGCGGGGAAATCTATTCCCAGTCCCAAGT